AAAAAAAAAAAAATGCTCATTCTCTACTAAGAAACAAAATGTAAATAGACAAACATCATTTGTTGATTTGGGAATTGTTGGTCTCGTTGCATTAGCTTGAAGTTCTTTTATTTTTCTAAAGAAAAAAGTTTTGTAAAATAAAAAAATAAGATGAATATGAATAATAACAAACTTTCTAACAATTGATGCTTCTCCTTTTGGATAAAACGACCAATCATAATTAACTTCTCCACTAGTTAAGATATTTTTTAAAATAATATATTCTCCTGATTTTGATGATGTTGATATTGATGATAATAATGAATCTAATTGATCTTTTTCATCATCACGTATTCCACCATCTTATATTAATAAAACAAGAATTTATTTAAATAAATATAATGTAAATTAGTAAAATACCATGTTTTAATCGAAGAAGAAGATCAGGTTTTTTATATGTTCTTGCCGCTAATAAATGAACAAGACGTTCTCTTAACAAATAATAACATAAGGAAATTTTTTTTATTTAAGAAAAAAAAAAAAACCTTAATGGTCTTTCCGAAGATAATTGATTATTAGCATTTGTATTTGGACTAAGAAGTTGATCACGATTATTTGTTGTTCTTTGTTGTTGTTGTTGTTGTTGTTGTTGTTGTTGTTGTTTCTGAGTATTTGTTGTTGTTGTTGTTGTTGATGATGGACGTTGATTTGATGATTTATGAGTTTTTTTTTGTAAAATTGTTTGTGAACTTTCACCTATTTCTTTGGTTCTATTTATAAAACCAATAAATAAATGAAAAAAAAAAAAAAAATAAAAGAACGAACTGTTTTTTTGTTTGTTCTTCATTTCTTTGAAATTCAGTTACTTTTGTTTTGGTCATACTATAAACATCTTCTTGTGCATGAATATTAAGTCTTTGTTCAATAAGAGCACAACTTTCAATTTGACTAGTTTTATTTAATTAAATATATATATATATATATGTATTTAATAGAATAGAAGAAGATAAAAATCATACTCTCGATTAATTTGTTTAATACATTGAAATACTTCAGGTGTTTTATCTTCAGGTGATATATTAAATGAATATGTTTTTCTTTCACCATTTGTTGTTGGAATTGATATATCCTATTTATAAATAAAATAATATATATGTTAAGAAAATAACAAAATAAAAAAATCAATTCTTACTCCTCCATTAGGATTAAATTTAATAATTGGTTTATTATTTGAATATTGTTTTTTATTTAATTTAATATAAGTTTCAATTGTTTTCATACATGAATCAGTTAATTTAACAAAAACATGTAATTTTCCATCATTTGAACATGCTGCATCTTCATTTAACCAAAATTTATGATTTCCAGGTAGATTTCTATCCATTTATATTAGACTTTAGTCTTATTCGCCTTCTTCTTTTTTTTCTAATATTTATATTAATTATTAATCTTAAACAAATATTTATCAGAATTATTTATTTAAATAAGAAAATAAATTTATTATCTCATTTCATATACTTATATCTAACAAATGGGAACTTCTACACTTATTTAACATAGAAAAATATATTTAACTAAATTATCTTATTGAAAATGTTAATTAATTATAATTTAAATATATTATATTTATTATTAATTATTTTCATTAAATAATCAATATCAAAATTATTTATTATAAACACAACAAAAACTTATTTTATTATTAAATTATCTTTGTCAAATCGAACTTTTTCTATAAGAAAAAGAAAAGATTGAATATAAAATAATGTCAAAGTTAAATAAAAAAAATTAAAATTCGAATAAATAAAGGTAAATATCGATATAATTTATATTATATTTTAAAATATTTAATAATTGTCAACAATTTATTTTATTTAATTCGAGAAAAAAGAGGCAAAATAATTTTGTTTTTATTATCTAAAAACTAAAAAAAGTAATATCAATAAACGAATTGAATATGATCATTTGACCTATTCAAACGACCAAATAATTATCTATTTTATGAAATTCTATCAAATAATATCAAATATATTATATCTTTAATTTATTTTATTTATTTAATCTATTTAACAAATGCTTTAGGATTTAAATAAAATAATTTCAATATATTTTATTGTGAGATAGTATCCAGCACACATCACATCATTTATATACATTGAATAATAATCTATTGAAATAAGAAATAAATTAAATAATTCGATATTAATATTCTTATTGGATAAATATATTGATCAATGTTAATATTGATATTGATCTTGATATATTCAATCATTATATAGTGACATCTAGATATCGCTTGATTTTACTATTATCATATATAATAATAGGTAAATAGTGAATAAAATAAATGCATCTATCTATATATATATATATTGATTTGAAAGGGTTTATTTAATGGATTGATAATCTGTAGAAGTTGATACTCAACATGATTAGTCAAGTGATGAGACATAACTAGTACCTACACTTACACTTACACTTACACTTTAGATTTTTATTTTCATTATTTGTCTAGACAAATAACTTATCATAACATTGAAAAATATTCACACGTATTTTTATTTTTTATTTTTAGTCCATTTGTATAAACAATATTGAGAAAAGAAAAGCAAAACAATATGAATACAATCAACAAATTAAATTGACTTTAATTATTTTAAATTCTAATCAAGATAAATAAAATTCTCTCTAAATAATAATTAAATTAATTTTATCTTAAATTGTTATTCGATGATTTTATGTCTATTAGAACCTTTGCTTTTATTCTCTATAGGATTATCTTTAGAGGACATTTATCTACTATTATCATTTAATACTATATATATATCAATCATTTTATTTTTCTCTCTTCATCGAATAGAATCAATATAGAATAAAAATAAAAGACTAATCTTTTCATTTCTCTTTAAAGATAAATAATATCGATATATATAGACATTATAACAAATATTGTTTATCTGATTGAATATGATATATTTACAGATATTATTCATTAACAAAACAATTATTTAATTATTAAAATAAAAGAGAACACTTTTACTTAACATCTTTATTTATTTATTATTAATTATATTGTTTTATCATTTTATTTAAATAGTTTAATTAAAATCAATTTGAAATTTTAATTTATTTATTTAAGATAAACTTAATTATTTCAATATAAATACGATAAATATATCGATATATTGATATAAATTGAATTTACACTCGTTTTATCTTAAATATATAAATAATAAAAGGGACGACACCTGTGATATGGACAGAAACTTTCTTTTATTCTTTGACAGGTCACGCGAACAACAATTATTACATCACGATATAACTATAGTTAATTCATTTCAATTGACTTTTCTTTTCATCCGTTTTTTTTTTTTTGCTTTTTATCTTTGATGATGAAAAGAGGAGAGAATGATTAGTTTGTCAATAGATTTATAAAGGTACGATAATAATAAGTTGAATTGTTATATTAAAGATGATTATAATCGATATTCATGGTAGTGACCATATGCTATAATCATTTATTATATTCATTTTGATTAATTCACAATTTATAGAAGATTATATTTATACTTATTCATACCTTATTTATTATTTAACAATTTATTCTTCAGACTTTTTCTTTTTCTAAAAATGAATTCGATTCAAGAATAAACGTCATTAATTCATATTCTCGGTTGTTTGTTTTTTTTCATGTTGAATAAAGAAAAGAAAAAAGAAAAGAAAAGAAAAGAAAAGTGTTCAATAGAATAGAATAAAGACACGAATAAACAAAAAAGAGAAAAAAGCAAAAAAAGTAAAGATACAACATAAAGAGTCAATATATAAAGATAAGTTGATGTTCACTGTATATACCGGCGATTGTTAAATAGGATGATTTATTTATATTTATATTTATATTGGAATGAGAATATCTGACACTCGTATATGAGTGATTTCAACAATCATTTGAAAGGTTTAAATGCACCAACTATTGTTTGACCTTTTTCTAATTAAAATAATAAATTAAAAAAACTACATTGAATATTTATTTAAAAAAAAGAAGAAAAAAAACCTTGTGATGATGTTGGAGATGAACATGTTGATGATGATGATATTGAATAAGATCTTGTTTGTTGTTGTTGTTGTTGTTGTTGTTGTTTTTCAATATAAGTTTCATTTATTTTATTATAATGATTATGATTTTTTTCTGCCATATCTGCAAGTGACCAAATTCCACAACGTTTTTTTCTTTCTCCATTTTCATCTTCATCAAATTTTCTTTTTCGATTTGTTTCATCTGTTTTTTAAGAAAAACAAAAGCAATTTTGTTTTTATATTTAACATAAATAAATAAATAAATAAATAAATGAAACCTCTATGAAGATTTTCTTCTTGAATATGATGATGTTGAAGAACAGTTAATGGTGATGATAAATAATTAATATTTGGTATAAAACATGTTTGGCCTGTTGATGTTGCTACAATTGGTGTTGTTGTGTTTGTTGTTGTTATTGTTGTTGTTGATGATGATGGATTAGTTGTTGTTTGTATTGGTGGACAAGTTGATTCATCATCACTAAGATCACTATTTGATCCATTAACATGTCTATCATCATCATCATCAGTTGTTCTTTTAAATAAAATAATTTTTTAGAAAAAGAAAGAAAAAAAAAAAAGATGTCCAACCTATTTCTTGGTGACCAAGTCATTTTATTTTCTTTTTTTAATCTTCTTCTAGCATTAGCAAACCAAGTTGAAACTTGTGTTAATGTCATTTTGGTCATAATAGCTAAATAAACTTTTTCTGATTTAGTTGGATATGGATTTTTTCTATGTTCATATAACCATGCTTTTAATGTTGCTGTTGTTTCTCTAGTTGCATTTTTTCTTCTACCAGCTAAATCCATGTGAGGAGAATAACTAAATAGAAATAAAACATGAGAAATGTTCTCAATTTCTAATGTGTCTCTTCGGAAAAATGATCGTCATATGATCATTTTCTATGCATCAGTTATAAAAAAGAAATAGATATGCATCGTTTAGAGACTATAACATTCACTTCATTAGACTCGAGGCGATTCATATTCTTATTCTTATTCTTATTCTTTTATCTAAGTGATTCCATTTAGTTTCCTAATAGAATTCATTTAATATATATCTATATATCTATTTTAAGAAAATTAAAACAAAAAAAAAATCAGAACAATGAAAATTTATTTGATTAAATAATATAAGCAGATGGAAGAAAAAAAGAAAGTTATTTTATCTTAATGGACATTAGTTTATAATCCTTTATTTATTTATATATTTTAGAATATTAGAAAGTAAAGTAAAGTAACATACCCAGCTGCATAAGGAGCATAACCAACTAAAGCAACAGCTGTTGCTGCATCATATACATATGGATTTGAATATGGATTACGCCATGGATTACCATTTATTAAACTATTACAATCTTGATTCAATCCAATAACATTTACATTTGAATCCTTTTTTTTTTATTTAAATAAAAAACGAAAATTTTGTTTTTTTTTTATTTTTAAAATAATTCTATTTTATTTTAATATAATTACTTTAATTGATGAATATGGATTTGAATCAGATGTATTAATACCAGCTATCCTATTTATATATTCAATAGATTTCAACATCTTTAGTTTTTCTCGGGTTTTTTTTTGTTTCTTTTTCTTTTTTTTTTCAATAATAGAAATCAAACTTACATTATCAATATAATAATAATTATTAGTTGAAGAAAAAAGAAAAAAACGAAGAAAGAAAGAAACAATCTTAAGTAAAGAAAAAACAAACGAAGAAATTAGTTTGATATGCAAACATTATTTTGCAAGTGTTACGACAAGAATGCGAACAGTCGCCTTTCTCTTTCTTTCCTAGTTACCAATATTAATATATTGTTAAACGAATCGGCATTAGAAGAAAACGGAATATAGAGATCGAGAGGCTCACTGAATAAAATGCAAAACGAGAGAGAGAGAGACAGAGACATTGAGAGAGAAAAAACACACTCGTCTGTTAGTTTGTCAGACACGATCGTTACTCTCTCTTCTATCTGCTATTTGTCGATGAATTCAACGAAGAAAAAAATCCGATTGGTTGACAAGTCGTGTGCCACTGCAACAAGACACGATGTTTTACATTCTTGTTCGAGTAGCTTGTTAACAACGCCAACGGGTGGAAGACAGAACAACTAAACTACTCTTTTACTCATTGGATGAAGAAAATAAAACGAGAAGAGAAAAAAAGAAAAAAAGAAACGGCGACCATCACAAATACATTTATTACTAGAAAAAAAAAACGAAGAAGAAAAGAAGAAGCAAAAGAAAAGAAACAAATATATATTTCTTGAGTAAGGGCAAACACTACTCTACTATGAAAAGAATACTGCCCTAAGTAAATGATCGAGTCATTGACGGAGAATCTTCGTCTACTCTTAAATCAACATCGAAGAAAACGGCGTCAATAGATTATTTTAGTTTTTAGTTTTTTTTTTTTCAATAAGCAAACATATTATTTGTTTATCAATATAGATTGAATAATTGACTTTATCCAATCTAATAATTAAACGAATAGAATTTCACTTTTATAAAACAATAAAAAAACAAAACAAAACAAAAAAAAAGAAACATAAATGTTAATTAAATAATATTTACTTAAAAAAGGAAACATAAATAAAAATGATGTTTAACTAAAACAAATCGAATAGTGAATTCTGTTTCCGTAATTAGTGTAATTATAAAAAGAAAAAAAGTGAATGTCTCTTGTTTAATTACAAATGATAGAAAAAGAGAAAAAAAATGATTGATGAGACAAGCAATGTGCATTTTCTTCCGGTAGTTTTATATTGTAGAATAGCTTATCTTGTTTTACATAATCATTTCAGAAGGAGATAAGTACCTTTCAACACTTTCACAAATGCCGGAAACTTATTTTCTTTTTCTCTTTCTTTTTCTTTTTCTTTTTTTTCATTCTAAATTAGAAATATGTTTTAATGAAAAAGACTAAGAATGAAGTTGACCAACGATAATTGACACTTATGTCTTGATTGAATTGATAATATTTATATTTGATGATAATCAAAGAAATCGAACCGTCGATACTCGACTTAAAAACAAAGAAAAAAATTCTTCAACTTAAATATACTTTGTTCTCTTGTTAATAAGATCATTGACGTATGAATTAACTCTAGAGACATTTATTTAGTCCAAAGTCAATAAACCGATATATATATATATATATATATAGATTAATATAGAAATATCTCAGTTAGTTCCGGAATAAATCCAATAGAATGGAATGCCGTGTCCGACGAGAAGTGGACGCATGAACAAATTAACTAAAGTGTGTCAGCGCATGATCGGGCTTTTCCGTTCATCTTTTTTTTTTTTTTTTTTTACTTTATCATATTTCCTTTGACCTCTATTCAATATTGAACCAATCGTTATTTATTGAGAATATGTTTTTTTTTTTGTTGTTGTTGTTGTCAATATATATATAAATGATCAATGAAAATAATGAGCATACTTTTTATAAAAAGAGACAAAAAAAAGAAACTAAGAAGGAAAATTTTTGATTGTTTATAATCCTACTTGACGGCACAAAGGTGTTTCTCTATTGATGATTATTGAGTGTCTATAAACAAAAGCAATGAGAATAGATTGACCACTTTCTTCTCAATTCTTACAATTAGCGTGATAAGAATCTATTCATCTGATCTGATCTGATCTGATCTGATATAAACTAGTCAGTAGTCAAATAGAGAATTGTTTCTAGTCGGACGGCGTCTGTCGTTAATAAGCAAAGTGTAGATCAACTTCCGAATGATGATGATCATCATCTGCGCCATCAAATCTTTGTTCTTATCGTTCGTTTTCCCATATGTCACTCTCTCTCTCCCTCTCTTTCCATCTTTCTCTTTCTCTTTCTCTTTCCAATCATAGAAATAAGAAAGACATATCCGTTGCCGACACATTTATCCAACAATATTCTATAATTTATCATAAATATCGAACATTTCATTATGCTTTTAGTCAAATATAATAATCGATCAATTGACGAGTTAAATAATACATTGTCTTTCATTTATTTATTCTTATATATATATATATATTTACCTTTAAGCAATTATCAATTAACAGTTGATTGTTATAAGATACCTCTGTGTGGTTTTTGAATAAATAAAGTCAATTGAGATAAAAATTTATTTATTTTAATATGTTTAAATATAAATATAAATAAAAAGTAGCTAATAATGATAGACGAATGTCTATCAATATGATAAATGTGTGTTTTTGTTAAAAATGATCTTATTGAATAATCTTTTAAATAAAGAATGAATGAAAAGTAAGGTTGGTATTGTATCAATTATGATAAATAATTGTCTAATTATCTTTGCTTTAAAACAGTAACCATATGTGTTCATATCGATTTCTTTATTTCTATAGACATTTCATCACCGATCGACTAATGATTAGTTACCCGTTTTTTTTTCTCCTATCGACAATATCAACAGACAATTGCCAGTTTTTTTTTTCTTTTAATGATCTAAACAATCAATTTTTCTTCTTTTATTTTCTTATTTTCGTAAATATAATAATGAAGATATTTGAGGCTATTATCTATTCAATTAAATATATTTACTGATTATTTATCGATTTAATTTATTTCAAATCTTAGCAAAAAACAAAATTTTTTGTTTCGGTTTGTTCAATATATTTATTATAAATAATTGTTTATTATCGAAAATAATAATTATATTTCGAATGGGTTTGTTAAAAATATCTATGTTAATGTTCATAAAATATTGATAATAATCATATATATGTCGTGTCGAAGTTTGTTTTTTTTTTAACATTTACCTAAATATATATGATAAAAAAGTGAATATAATTGTATTGAAGTCTGCATTGAAACTATTCATTTGAGATAAACAATATTCGTAACTATATTTATATATATTTATTTCGAAATAAATTATATTGTGTTACTAATATAGTTGAGTTTCCTACTAATTTAGAGTAGTTGAAATGTTTTAAAGAATCTAAAAAGGAAAAAATTTAAATGATATAACCAGTGACAAACTTTAATTAATAGTAAATTAAAAAATCGACTCATCATAAATCGAATAATATCATTATTAGACTTATTAATATAAGTTTCATCTCTCTCTCTCAATATATAACATAATTATATTGTCAAATAAAACGTATATATATAAGTGTTTGATTTGTTCTTCTATATATATATAAATATGTTAATAATAATCAATAATTAAAATAAAATAAAAATCTATTATAGATAAGAGATAATATTTATTAATTAACACAAAATAATTAAATGATGAGAAATTTAATAAAAACTAAAGACGATAATAAATATTATAATCGGAATTCGATAAGAATTTAAAGAAAAAAACAAAAAAAAAAAATCTAAATAAATTTGATTGATGAAGAAAAAAAAAAAAAAGAATAAAATAAATTTATTCTTTATAAATAAAAAAAATAATAATAAGAATAAAAATATTTTTTTTAAATAAATATTCTTGTAAAAAAGTATCATATTTATTATCTAATAAAGATCTTGATGCAATTATAATTGATTGATCAATATGTTGTTCAATATAAAATTGTACTATTATTCGATATCTTTTTGTTAATTTTTTAAAAAAATCTTTTATTTCTTCACATAATGATAAACAATTTATTTTCCATTTTGTATTATCATATAAATAATCATTTATATATTGATTTAATAAATTATTAATATATTGAGAATATTCTTTTGTATATTCAAATTTATTTTCATATATATATGAACTTTTATTATTAACACTTTTATTAATTATACTTGTTGGATACAATTGATTTTTAATATCATATCGACCAATTAATCTATTTACTTCTATTTAATATATTAATAAATAAATAAATAAATAGAACAATAATAATAATAAAATTTTACCATTAGATTTGTCAATATTTGAATAATTAATAAAATTAGTTAAATCATATTGAGGAATTTTTTCCGATAAATCCAATAGAATATTTTCTTTTTGAGAATATTTTCCTAAAGATTTTTTCTCTTAATAGAATTTATTTTATTTATTTATTTGTTAATTTAAGTTTTATTTAAAATAATATATTATATTCATCGAGATTTTTTTTCTTAAATTATTCTTTAATTAATTAGTAGAAATATTTAAATTAAATAAATATTTCTATATAGTTTTCTAATAGATTTAATTCATTTAAACATATTAACTAATTTTTATATTCTCTCCAAGATGACACTTATATTTATTAAATTATTTATTTAATAATATTTATAAATATATTCTATATTAATAAAAAGATTATTTTAATATAACGAAAATCAATATTCAATATATTAATATATAATATTATCTTTTCGTTAATATTTATTTATTAATAAACAATCGAATAATTAATTTCGACATATTATTGAATATTAAAAATAATATCAATATCCTTATAGATAACTAAAAGAATCTTTCTATTTAATTGAATTATTCTTAATTAATTCTATGATTTAGTTTATCTTAAATTAATCTTAACATATCGATTATTTCTATATATTAAACAAAATAATCTATTTACAATATTTAATTAAAATGATTAGATAAAAAGTATATATTATAGAATTATTTGTTAATAGATGACATGATATGTATTTCTCTATTATAAATAATATTCGAAAGTTAAATTAATCAATAGAATTTAAAATTAACTTGTCAATTTAATTTAATCATAATCGATTAAATAAATTGACAATCGAATTATTGAATTTAAATGTTTGAATATAATTACATTAACTTATTCGTTTATTAATAAAATCATCTCTAGTTTATTTTAGTTTTTCTATTTAAGAATTTTTAACTGTTTCATTAATATAAAAATTAATTTAAAAAAAAACAAAAAATAATCGAAATAAAACGATTGAACAACTAATCAATATCGATTCTGTTCAGTCAATCAATTAATCTCTTATTTACTCTGATAAAGACAAGCAAAATAGTTTTTTTATTCGATTTCAATTTAGAAACATTTCTATGTTTTTATTTTATTCTATTCTAATAAAGGAAACATTAAATATCTTCCTATATATAGACAACTGACCATAAGTCCCTGGATGTGCGATACTTCCTCATAACTTCAATAATTTTCCACGAAATTTTTAGCAGAGATAGAGCTTAAAAAACTGTGATCGCAAGCACCAACCCGAGCTCTATCGACTGATATAGGATGGAGTTATGATTCAAACATTAGTTTCACCTCTGTTTACTTATTAATCAATATTGACAGTTTTTATGAAAAACATTCGAGATCGTAGAGGTCTTATTTAATCTTTAGGTTGTTTCGTAAGTTGTTACACGAATACGCAGTGGGAATTTATTGCTCAATAAAGGCATCTCTGGAGAATAGTAGATTAATATTAATGAGCTAAGAAACAACTTAGAAATTAAACAAGTCTTCTAGCATCGCGATTGTTTTTCCATGAAAACTGTGAATATTGATTTACAAGTAAACAGAAGTGAAACTAATACTTCATACTATATCAGTCGATAGAGCTCGGGTTGGTGCTTGCGATCATAGTTTTTTAAGCTCTATCTCTGGTAAAAATTTCGTGGAAAATTATTGAAGTTATGAGGGAGTATTGCACATCCAGGGATTTATGGCCAGTAGTGTATATGGTAAAATTTTCAGTGAGATCGTACTTCAAAAAGTTCATTCCAAAAAATCGACCTTTCAGAACAATTAGACAGAGCTCAAACGAAAAGGTTTGTCTTAATATTATTCTAGGAACTCCTACCGTTGACAAGAGCCCTTTGGAATCGATTTCGAACTTTTCCGTTCGTAACCAGAGCATTTGATCGGTAGTGAAGTCGTACTCAGTCATGTCGCTAACGCTGAATAAATTTTCTTTTTTTTGAAACAGCTATACATGCTCAAAATAATTTTACACCGGGATTTAGTAGCCTTAGGAGTCATGTCTAGTATTGCATATTAAATTTTCGGCGATTGTGCAACATTTGAAAATTTTTAAAACTGAAAGTATATAAAGTGAGAGTTGATATGCTCTTTATGGTGTCACGTCGGCAACGCTCGTTTTTCGTTAATAACTCCTCTGAACAAAGCTCTAGAGTGTTGATGTTTTCATGGCATCTAGAATAACTCGAGACTGGTATAAGATGTAAAAACCACACGTAAACCAGCTGATAATTTCTATATATGCATACTCCAAGTTTGCGATGTCACATCGGTAACGAATGATTTATCCTATATAGTTAAATATAAAAAGATCTGAATATGATAATTGGTTGGTCTCAATATAATTTAATATGATTAAATAATAAAATAAAATATTGAGAAAAAAATGCGATGAATATAGAAATAAATAAATTGAAAATACCTTTTTGTTTGTTAAGATATTTTTTCTGATCTTTATATGATGTTTGCTGATATTTACTATTTCGACGATTACTGTTTAATCGATTATATTCACGATTTGTTGATAATATTTGATCGATATTCATTGAATAAATATATTTATTGAGAATTGTTTTGTTCTTTCGATAAATGAATAAAGGCGGTAATAAAATAATATTATTATAAGTAAAGATAAAATTCTTATATTAAATCGAGTTAGTTTTTTGTTGTTGATTATCTTTAATTATTTCAGCGGTAATAGCTAATTGTAAACTTTTTCTCATAAGTTCTTCAATAAATGTTGGTCTTGTTCCAATCTGAAAAGATTTATTTTCATTATCGAATTCTTGTTCTTCTCCTTCTCGTTCTTGTTTATTTATTGTATGATTATTTAAATCATTTTTAATTGATTGTTGATTTCTCTCAATATTTATTTTTTTCGTATTGAAATAATTACCCTTATTAAATAATTCTTTTCTATAACGATATAATAAATAAACAGTTAATATTAAGATTGTTGAACTAAGAGAAACAGTTGAACCAATTAAGATTCCTCGAATAAGTTCATTATGATGATTAATTGACATTTATCGGTTTTTTTCTTATTTTTGATAAAAAGCAAAGAATAATTGATTAATTATATATAACAGAGATTAATTATATTTACTGATATAGACAAATTAACTAATTGACAATGTTATTATCGCGCTTTATTTTTATTTTTTTTATTTTTTGTTTATATAACTTTATTTAACTAACAGAATATAACTGAATTAATCATTTATTATTATTATATTAATTATTTTGATAAAAGATGCCTTTCTTTTTTTTTCTTTCTAACAACAATTATTCGAGAAATCTTATTGTAAAAAAAAACCAAGAAAAATATGTTTGTTTATTATTAAATAAAGAATAATTATTGGCGTGAAAGTTAGTTGTTGTTTTTTTTGTATAGATTGTTGATGTATATATATATATATATATTCCTATAAAATCTATCAGGTAAATAATAATTATATTTCGATTGTAAAAAGTATATTTATATTTGTAATAAATGTGGTTAGTGAAATAAATTAAATAATTAAAAATTTCTATTCGAAGAAGAATTTATCTTTTGTTAAATAAATATTTATGTTTAGTTATAATGATATTATCGAAATCCTAATTCTCAATCGAATTTCGAAAATAAATTTTTTTCTTTTTTATATTGAACTATTTTTTTGAAAAAAATCTAAATAAAATCTCTGATTAATCATTGATGAATTATGATATGATAGGATATTTTCATATTTATTTTATTGGTTATCAGATTTCGATTAAGTTTTATTTTTTTTGTTGTCAATGAGAAAATAACTCGATGATATATCATTTATATAAATAAATCAATCAATCGTCAAATAATAGAAATAAAATATGTTTCTTTTTTTTTTTTTTTTTTTTTTGAAAAATCTTTTACTAGTTAAATAAGATAAATAGATTAATAATTTTAAAATAATTATAATTTATGATCATCAGAATAATATTTACAGATATAATCAACATATAATATATTTGTAAAGAAAAACTAATACCACCGAGACTATTTTAAATAATTATTTATATATTAATGTAATATTATTTAAATTTCGTTATTGTTAATATATGTATAAGTGAATATATAATGTATTTCGAACAAAATTGATTTTAATAATAAGAAGAATATATAAACATATATACGTATATATTAATTGAGATAATATAGATTAGTTTGATCTTTAATATAATCATTCGAGCATAACAACTGTCAGATTTGTTTTTTTCTTTATTTCTTTCTTCTATATTAAATGTCATTCAATCATATAAACAATAATATAATCTATATATAAACAAATATTGATCAAAGACATATTTATATTTCATCTTTCTTTTTCTTTTTCTTTTTCTTTTTCTTTTTCTTTTTCTTTTTCATCAGTTAAATATTGAAATAGAATATATTTATTAAATAAACCATTTATCATTGTTATTCGATCGATTTATTTATCCAAATATTATTTAACTTATTTTTAACTTAATTATAAAATAAATAAAAGCAAATTGATTAATCTTGAAAAAAGAAAAAAGAAAAAAGATAGATAAACTATATAATAATCAATTATTGTATAACATGTTTGAATAAAACATTATTATTTATTTTAAATATCTAAAGTTAAACTAGTTCTATCATATTATATATCAAATTCATCAATATATAATAAAACATTTTTGAAATTTAATTTAATAAATCATAATGATTTACTTTTTTTTTAAAAATTTTTATCATATATATATATATATCATTAATAGTTTAGATTTATATTAAATATAATATATTTAACAAAATTCATCTATTGATTGAATAATAATACTCAATCGGTTACATATCTATGATTATAATCGAATTCTTCTCCTTGTTTTTATTTCTCTGGGTACTTATGAAAGAAAAACTCATTTTCTGAGAGAAGATAATAAATAATTGAAAACGTTTAGAGAAATTTTTTGTTGCACAAATGTGTGAATTCTTGTTACCAATAATAACATAATATAATGTTCTACTGAGAGATATTTGATGCATTTGCAATAGGTATATTTCTATCAATCGAATCTTTCAAAGAGATTTTTCCTTTTTTCTTTTTCGAACTATCTCAACAATTTATGTTCGATATTATTGTCGAAGACGACAACATTCAATAGTCAATATTCTATGAAGATTATTAATAAAACAGTTTTAGAAGACAAGATACAAAACTAAGCTGAAATTTAAACTCACCTATTATCTATTCAATCATTTTTGATTGTTTTTCTTTCTTTTTTTTCGAAAGAGTACTTTTATCTATACAGCAGATAGATATACTGTTCTAGGAATGATAGATGAACTTTATGATTAATACAAATGTTCGATTTTCTACAGTTTTTCATAATATGACGTTTAGTGATTAGATCATTCCAGATAGAGTTTATTTTTTTTTAAATTTCTTGAACGATATTGATATATTCAATGGAAAATTTACAAAAACAAACGAACATTTAAAACTAAAATAAGGTTTGTAATCGTTGTAATTCAATTGTTTAATGTTATTTTCTAATCAGCAAAAATTTTAAATTAAATTTGTCAATCTGTCGATAAAATAATGTTAAAATAATTGAATTCTAATTAATCTATGTTTTTTTTTACCATTAGATCTGCTTGTAAAAAATTCATATTCAATACAATTTGTTCTCGGTTTGTCAATTGAAAATATCGTTTGAATTGATAATATTCGTCAATATAATTTAAATAAATATATTATCCTCTGAAGACAATATTAAAGAAAAGATCATTGAATTGACAATTGTGTTGTAGACGCATCTTTCGTTTAAAGTTTTCATCGATAAATTATTTTATTTATTGTTTAATAATAATAAGAGAAATTAATCAAATTAATATCATCTATAGGTCACTATTGATCATAATATAGATTATTCGAATGTAATGATCATCGACGAAAACGAGATCGTCAAAAAAGATATCATCGATATAAAGATCGCCGAATTTTTTTCGATGATCTTTATCAGATACATTCTTTTCGCAATCATTATTTTCGTTCACACATTCGATATGAATCCCATGCAAAGAGCGGCTATTTATCTATCTCATAAACATCATGAATTGCAATCGAGTTTTGCGATAGATTCCGCGCTTGTTTTAGTTTCTGACCTGATTCCTAACTTAAGTTAGGAACTAACTCAATCTAGGCACTTTGACTTAACAATTGTATATATCAGCGTTGAAAAACATTGTCAATGACTATATCGCAGAAAGTGAGATCGTCGAAATGATAGATTGACGATTGGCACATTACCGAAATCATATTTCGTCGAAATACGGTTCGCCGAATTTCGGCGATGTATCTTTCGGCGAACAGCATACTTACCGAAATTTAATCGTAAAAAATATTAAATTTATTCTTAATTAAGATTAAGTTTTAGAAAAAGGCAAAAGTCGATATATAAATGAATTGTTTTTGTTTTTCTATCGTCGTTTCTCTACTGATGTTGATCAACTCTTTTTAAATTGAACAGATCGAATAATATTTATTTATAAATGAAATAAAAATATGAATTAAATTGATCATATAGATAATAGGGACCTCTAGAGAACAAATATCGAATTGGAAAATAATCAATGTCGTACAAAAACCATAAACAAAAAAAAGAATTTTTTTTTAACATTATTCTATAGATTTAATCAATTGAATGAAAATCTAGGGAACACAAGACACAAGACAAATTAAAATATGCAAAGTTTATTTATATTAAATAGTAGTAAAATAATTAATTCAAATATTCGTTTATCTTCATCATCAATAAAACCTTCGATTATTTCTCGTATTCGAAATATAATTCATCATTATTGGCTTGGATCAAAATTACTTTATCAAAATTATAAATCAGTTCAACAAATTCGAAAAAAGTTTGTATTTAGTTTTATTTTTTTATATTATTCAATATAGCTAAATATCTTCTTCTTCTTCTTGTTTTTTTTATTCTTCAATCAAATAAATCTTATATAGAGATATTAATTCGTTAACACGTCATGAATATTTAACATTAGAACAATTTCATTATGATATTCGTGTTGGAGCTCCATTTGTTTTATTATTTCTATTACCGATAATTGGTTATAGTGCCCCGATTATTGCTTTTATTGCTCCAAAATATCTTCCATCAACACTAATTATGCCTAAACAAAAGGTTTTATATTAAAAATAATTAAATTTGTTTTGTTTGTTTTATAAAATCATATAAATAAATTTTAGGTTGCATTTATAAAAGATGATGCGCGTGCATCATCTTTAATAATTGATTCATTAATTGAATTTAGTCAAAAACAATACAATTATGAAAATATTCATGGAATAATATCAATTATGCAATTTATAGATCAAGTAAACAAATAGACGAGTACTTTCATTATTTTCTTCTGTTTCTATCAATTAGCTTAATGAAGAAAAAAAAAACTAAATAGGTAACAAAAATTCTAATAAGTGGACAGTTATCTTTATCAGATTAGTGATAATCTATCTTTTATTAGTTACTGAATAATCGACAATCGAAAGAGATAATAGAAAATATTCAAGTTTACCAACAATAAGCTTCTCTTTTCAAATATAATCATTATTTACAAAATATTTTATCCAAGGATTTTTTTTATTCGACAAATCTTACTCTCTTTATATCTCTCTCTATAATAAACTTCGAAAAATTGATTAGAAAAATCTATATAATCAATCGTTATTTTCGAAAAAAAAAACAAAATATCTTTGATTGATGAATTCGAAAATATTTCATTATCTATTTCGTAATAAATTGTTACGGATCCGTGGTCACTTATTTATTTATCTAAGGATAATTTAGCATTTGTGAGAATGAATTTATTCTATAATAAGATGAGAAGTCGAGCCATCGTTAATTTCAATCTTTTTTTAAAATCGAGTTCGTTCAATTAAATTACTTTTCTAAACACTTTCAATTTAGAATATTGGGTTTTTTTTTCATTCAAATCATAGATGATTTTAAACTAAAATAAATAAATCATTTTTAATAAAAAATGAATTCGAACAAAAAGAAAAATCAAAATTTGATTATATATATATATAATATGATGAATATTATTTAAGAATAAGTTAATATGTCAAACTTGAATCGATCTCGTCTAGTTTGTTCGTCGATGGAATATACGAAAATTTAATAAATTATCAATAAATAGAGAAAGATTTATGCATAAGACTCCATTAATTTATACGAAAATATCTGTTAAGATAAAAACCTTCCTCAGGATAATTATTTTTTCTTCTCTGCTTTTATTTTTTACTTAACTTCGATACGACTGAATATTTAAACAAATATTTATAATAAAACAATATTTTATTGTCGCTAGTAGAATTAAGTCGATGGTTAACTCTATGAGGAATATTTCGAGAAGAAAAATCCATTCTCATCTAGAATTATCATCAATTTAAATTGATATTAAAACACATTTGTATTTATCTAATCTCTTGTTTTTTTTATTGATGATTAAATGTATTTCTTCTGAAAACAGGAGCGGCGCCAAGAGGTCGGAGCAGGGGGGGGGGGGCAGTGCCAAAATCGGAGAAAGTCAAAAAGTGTTCTCTAAACTGAAATTTTCTCCGAATCAGAATTTTATTAATATACTTCTTCAAAATCGGAGAAAATCGTTTACTCATTTTTGTTCAAAATTGGATTTTTCTGAATTCATAGAAATATATTCAACACTATTATATAACTTCGCAGAAAATTCAAGTTTGAAGAACATTTTTGGGCGATTTTCTCCGATTTTGGAGAAATATATTATACAAATTTCTCCAAAATCGGAGAAAACCGCCTAAAAATGCCCTCCAAACTTGAATTTTTACCGAATTTAGAGAAAACTATCGAGTATATTTCTCCAAAATCGGAGAAAGTAGCAGTGAAAATTTTCTGGAGCAGGAGGGGTGACCCCCCTATCCCCCCTCCCCCGGTCGCGCCGCCCCTCTCTGAAAATATTCGTTTTCGAGTTATCTCGTCTAATAATCTCTGATACCAACAATATAAACATAATTATAATTAATATGTCAAATAACAACGATCAGTTTTTAAAAAGAAAATTCTTTTTTAAATGCTTCTCTTTTCAAAAACGAATAATTGATTGAGTTATAAGAAAAACGAAGATAAATAAATAAGATTTGATCATCGATAAAAGAAAAAAAAAACCAGTTTTCTGTTTTTGTGTACTCAAAAAGTGAGTAAACTCTAGAATCGGTCAGTATGTCCGGCCGGCCGTTTACACGATAACTTTCGAAAGGAGAGTCCGATCACGATGAAATTTTCTATACAGTTCAGTCTTTACAATATCTCGGTCGAGAGAAGAAGATGAGAAGGATCGGCCGAGCCGTTCCTGAGTTATTGGAAAAATACCCATTTTCCCCTATAGCTTCCTGTGGAAAAATCGATCCATTGCCGCTTTCGTAAAAGACTTTTCCTATCATAGTCAATTAAGACCCCAACTATTATATACCATTCGATAGAGAATTTCAAGAGCTATAAAATGATATATAAAACATGAGGAAACAGGAAGATTATCTTACCCATCGCAAAGATAAATAGGGAAGAATCGGTTCTGTTTTTGTGCACGCTCTAATTGATCGCCAGTTAGAGCTTTATCTTTCGACCATAGAGATGATAATCGAAGGTTTTCTGGGGCGGAGAACTAGAATCTGCACTAAACTTGGCTCGAAGCTCCATTAGTTGAGTATTGACCAATAGAAATCATGTTATAGGAAAAACGACTTTCTGAGGCTAAATAAAGCCGAACAGGTGAAATTTGAGGTCTATACGCTCCTAAGTCCTACGGTTGAACAGTAGGCAATGGAATTCAAGGGTTTATAGAAAAGGTTTGCCTCGCGAATTTTTTATATCCATAGATTCTAGGATGACCGATTTGTCTCATTCACTTTTTGAAGTACACATAGCTCTCAGATATAAATCGGAGATTTCCGCATTTATTATTTTTGTTTTGTAAATATGTGAAAAATCGAAAAAAAGAAAAAAGATTGTTAATTGAAAGGTTTCAAAATCATCTGATCGATTTAAAATGTTAATGTCATCGATTCCATTATATTCATCATTATTTACAAAATATATTAATTTATCATTACTTGATCGTAAACATTTATTATTAATTCATAAATCAGTATTACATTCATCATTTATTGCTGATTATATTTTAACTAATTATTCAATTGAATATGATCTTGAAATGTGGCAACATCGAATATTAATTGATGATAAAAGAATAATAAATGTAAATAAACTTAGTCAATATGAATTAGTATCATCTCTTTATTCACGTGGTATATATCTTCATGTAAATCATATGGGTAAAGTTTTACAATATGAACAAATGAACAATTTGAATAAATTTGAGAAAAAAAAATCGAAAAACTTAAATGAATATATTAATATAGATGAATATATTATAAACGATTGGAAAGAATTATTACATAAATGGATTCAAATTCATGATCAAGTTTCAAAAACAAATCGAATATCTACAAGTTTTCTTGTTCATATAACACCTTTACTTGTTAATTAATAAATTTTAATTTGACTTATGTATATATCTTTTTATAAGAGAGAAAAAGAAAGAAAAAACTAAGAAAATATTAATGTATTTGATTTAAATGTTGAACAAATCTGAAGAATAAATGGCACTGTTATATTCTCTATGAAAATATTTATTTAAAATTGGATTTGTTTTCAAATAACATATTGATGAATAAATATCATACGTAAAAGCCCGACACGAGAATATTTCAAGACACCATAAACAACATTTTGACCAACTGATTGAGTTATTTGACATTAAATTAATACCAATTAAATTAACATTTTTCATAATAATTAAATTTTTACAAGAATAATATTCTATAAATAAACAATTATTTCATTATTATTTTTCTTTTTTTTAATATATATATATACATTTATCTTACCCAATATTCGAGTTGACAAATTTGATTCTAATTTAAATAAACAAAAACAAAAAAAAAGGATATTTTCGTTAAGATTTGTTTTTTATTTTTATTAATATAGAAATAATTAAATAAATTTTATATTATTTCTTAGCAAAAACTCACCCGATCAATATAAAAAAAAAGTCGAGATAAATTGATTTTTCTTATGTATAAATCGAATCGAACGTTTTATATTATTTATTTGTTGAGAGATTACATTTATTATATAGACTGTTAAATACAATTGAATATTGAATATTGAATATATTCTATTATTAATATTTACGATCTATATGAGACTTTTTTTTTCGTTATCTATTATATTCATTTAATTAAATGATTGACATTTATTTAAATAGATCATTGAGAATAATTCGATTTCAAATATTCAAATAATTAATATTACCATTAACAGATTTAAACAAAAACAAAATAACATATATATTGATTGATTTAAAAACAAAATTATAGAATTAATCTTATATATTAATTATATAAGCGAGATATAACATAAGAATCTTTTTCTTATATTAATCATATTTTATCTAAATGAGTAGGAAACACATTTTTTTTTATTTTTCTTTCAAATATCTTCAAACTCAATCATTGTTGTGCTTCATTCAAATGAACAATCCTATCAAACAACAGTCGGAAAACCAGCGCTGGAACCGATCCGGACCGGTTTGGAAAACCTACCAGCCCGAAAAATACCGGAAATTCACCGGTTGAAAATTAAAAATAACTATCTTCATTTTCTCTGTTGTTTTGTAAAAAAAAATGTTATTTTTGATTTTTCCATCAAGTATGAAGTTGATGAAATAGTTTTCCATCGTTATACAGTATATACAGCATGATTCATTTATTTTTGCTCATTTTTCTTCAATCTACTGTTTTTCTGCAAAACTTGAAAAGTTTTTCTTTTTGATATGGTTGGATAGAGCATCGATTACTCTATCGAACTATATAGTTTTTATTTTATTTATTTTGCGCCTTGTTAAAAAAGATTTATAAATTCTGAGAAGCCATCGAACGTAACTTTTGCACGCTCATATTTCAGTTCAACTAAATTCATTAATGATGGAAACTGTTGTAGATGCAATAGATCCATGAAACTTCCTCATGCAGAACGTATTAAACAAAACGGATTCGAAATTGAGGAGAAAACTGAATTTTACTGTTAAAATATCGTCCACTTTTGCATTTATGAAAAACCAAGGTTATAGCGATTTTTGTAAAAATGCATCTGTACGACTGAACGTAAATCTAACCAAAATCATATAAATCGGTAGAGAGATTAACGCTCTATTTAGCTATATATCAATGACAAAAAGTTTATATGCTTAAACAGCCAAAATTTCTTTGAAGAAAAGTCAAAAAAAAGTATATGAAAAAAATTCAGGAACACATTTCTCAGAAACGTTGCCCCAGTTTATAGTAGAGATAAAGCATAAGCTCGATGAAAAATATATAGTTCGGTATAAAAAAGAGCGGTCTATTATTCTATGTACAAATAAAAAGTTTTAGTACGCCAAATAATAGTAAAAATAGTTAGCTGTGAGATGGTCGCAAAATTGCTGGATGCAAAAATCGCTGATAACTGCTTTTCGAAAAGTACCACATTTTGACCAAGATTCAAAGTAAACAAAATGAAAATTATATGGATCGATGGAGTAATCGACGCTCTATCCACCTATATTAATATAAAAAATATGCAAGGTATTGTTTAAATACAGCAAATTGAACAAAACTATTCACACTAATATAATCAACCTGTATTTCTCAAAAAAGTCAACAAGTTTATAATAAACATAAAGAATAAGTTCAATGAAAAGTATATAGTTTGATAGAGGAACTAATAGTCTATTAAAATATATAAAAATAAAAGTTTCAGTATCTCGGTAAAAAGCAGTCATCGAAAAAAATTACCTCAGAAATGGACTAAAAATTGTTGGGTAGAAAAATCTTTTTCGGCTTCTGTTCGAGATGTATCAAAATTTTTGGGCCAAGATACAAGGTAAACAAAATAAAAACTACATAGCTTGGTAGAGTAATCAGTGCTCTATCCAACCATATTAAAAAAATAAAAACTTTCGAGTTTTGCAGAAATACAGTAGACTCAAGAAAATGAGCAAAAATAAGGGAATCATACTGTATATATATATATATCTTAATACCGTTATTATTAATATGGGAATAAAATTGACTATTTTTTTTTCAATATGATTGCCTATTGTTGTATATCTCATTTTTTGTTTATATATTTTTTTTTGTCATTTTGTTTTTATCAGCAATGATGAAAAGATGATTTGATAATAAAACATGAACAAACATAACTTATACTAGAAAAGCAGAGTACTGAAAACTAATTTTCGATTTTGCATATCCTTTTAAGTCGGTAAACTTACCAAGGAACAATAGACACTATCAGGCAAAACTGCATCATGTTCTCGAGATCATATTCACAAAATTAAAATGTTCCATGACTCGCAAACATCAGGAATATCTTTTCTAGAACCTCACTCCAAGTTTTAATTATACTTGGTCAAGAATTAAAATTCTTCAAACTATATTTCTGAATACTTTTCTTAGGATCCTATGAGAAAACTTTAAATGCTAATCTGTCTGAATCTATGCTGTGAAGAGTAGAATTTGACTTCATCGTTTCTCCACATGTTTTCCAGTATCTAGGACGCATTTGACGTAGTCAATTATACGGTATACTGTCCGGTTTGCCGGAAATTCACCGGTTCAAGAGCATTCTGTAACCGGTCCGGTCCGGCGACAGGACCGGACCGGCTTTTCGATTTCTTACCGGTTCCAGCTCTGCGGAAAACTATAAATTCATACGGAGCAACTTAAGATAATTCTCATTTAACTAATCTATTTATATCATATTCGTCTTTAAATTATTTTTTGTGCTTTTGCGTCTAATTAATAACGATAATATGTTAGAATATATATATATATATTGAAATTGATCGAGCTTAGCAATAAGACACTTTCGAGACGATATATCTGAACATTTTTAAAGTGACCTTTGTTAATTAAGCACCAGAAAAAAAACAGAAAAAGAATATTGAATAAAATTCATTAGAAAAAATAAGTCCATTATAATATATTGAAACTATAATGTTTATCGATGATATGTCACTAGGATCTATTCAATCAGCGCATATATATATATATATATATATATATATTAACAAACAGTCTAGAAAATCTTTTTTATTTAATCATTGAAACAATAATAATAATAACTATGAAAAAACAAAAAAAACTTAATGTAAATATTTTAGTCAAAATTCTTTCGAGTAAAGTCGATTGAAAATACACATTATTATATATTTAATTTAATTATTTTCAATGTTAAAAATAAAACAAATTTGTTTTATATGAAGATAAATGTTAAAAAAATAAAACTAATAAATATTTATTTGAATGAGATAACTATTAATATATATATGTGCTTTTATCTGGAGTTTTATTCGAGAAATTCTTTTAAATATTCTTCGATATAGAATTTGATTAGACTTTTAATTGAATTGAATTTCTCTATCATTTTATTCTTTAATAAATAATTATTTTCTTTATTTGGTGATTAAAATAAAAATCATGTGTTTTTTTATGGTTTAGTTTTGTTTGATTTGTTTATGAAATATGACAATACTCTTAAAAACTAATCTAAACATTGTTGTCTAAAAACATCACTCTATGCAATTTAAAACGAAAGAAAGAAAAAAAAGAAAAAAGAAAAAAGAAATGTTAATTTTGACTTTCGTATTAACATAGAATATTTTATTGTTAAATCCTAATATAATATTCTCGTTTAAAAAATCGAAAATAATATTTAAGTTAAAATAATATATTTATTTACCATTTTCTGATCTATGAAATGTCATTTTATCTAAATTAATAAATCTTCAATTAAATTCGTTTTTAAATAATAAATAAACTGACTTTTCATTGATGGTGGCCAATATGGATCAATTGTTAGTACCATAAGAGGTAATAGAATTGAAAGAATTAAACCTATTGTTATTATTATTCCAGCTAATATTTGAAGTTTTATTGAAAATATATTCGATGTATTATCAAATGTTTTACTAGAAGAAAAAGAGTCGAAATAAATAAATAAATAAATTCTATTAAAATAATTAGAATTGTAATACTCAATTGTAATTGATATTTCTCGTTGTATTGTCCAATCAGGATTTCCAAAAGATTTTGATTTAATATCATTTTCATCAATTTGAGAATGAAAAGTAACAACAGATGGGCTTATACATGGCAATGGATCTTCTTCAACCTTACTCATTATTATTATTATTCAAATGACAAATAAATATAAAATGAAAGACTATCGTACATTTATTTTCATTAGAAATTCAATAAGTTTACATAACTCTTCAATTTTCAATTTCATGTTTATTTTATTTTCTTTAGTTTTCTTCTTCGTCTTCTTCTTCTTCTTCTTCATCTTATTATTATTATTATTTTATTTCAACAAAAACTGAAAAGGTTTCTTCGTATTCATATCAATAATTCAATTTTTGTTTTTCAAGAAAAAAATTTCATAAATAAAATTGGATTTTACGTTTTATTTTGTAAAGTTTTAACGAGAGATTTTTCAATTAAAAGTTTTTGTTCTTTCTTATTGTTAATTATTAGAAAACGAATATTCATATTCAATCATGACAAATCGAAAAATCTCGAATATATTTTTTTTTATTGAATTTTAATAACGAACATTAATAAATAACAGTTTTAAAAATAGTCAATTATTAACAAAAATCGATTAACTTTTATTTCATAGAAAAATTTATTTTCGATTAGATTTTTAATATTATTTCCCCACAAATATTTAACTCAAGGTTTTTTTTTTCGATTGCATTATTTGATGAAATAATCATCATTCTTTACCTTTAGTTTTTTTTCACATTTTTATTTCAACAAATTTTATTCAATATTAAAAACAAGTAACGCTCGTCGCTTCGACTCGCTTAGCCCTCGACTGAACAAGATATCATATTCAATTTTTCACAGACCATATAGCAGTAGAAGTTCACAAAAATTATACGAAAACGCAGAGTACATTTTGAAAATTCTACTTGAAATTTGTACACATTCTAGAACATTCCTCGATAATGCTGTTTACTATAGAGTTCTCTAGGAAAATAGAAGTTCAGTGGAACCTCTAGCTAAAAATAAAACATATTATATCTGATCTCTAATCGAAATCTGATATATACAACAAGCTCTTATTCAAAGTAGTGATAAGACTAGACAGGTAATTTGAATATATCAATATACATTCAGATACTTGAATTAATACAAAGAAAAGCATATACCAAAAGAAACATTCTTTTATTTCATTCATGTTCATTACCGATGCAGCGAATATAAATTCTTTCAGTAATACTTTTATTCTGACGAACTATTCAGTTATTTTGTCCAAACATAAAAACCGGTTCTCATCCTTGACTTGACATACTTTTCTCAACCTTTTGTATCTGATATTCCTTATTCAGACCCATTTGACTTCGACTATTGACTTTTATTCAATGAATCCCAACACTTAGAAGCGGCACTTCTGGAGATAACCCAGTGCAGCAGCTAGTCGCTCGTCGGCGCCCCTCCGGGGCGCCACTCGCAGCTAGCTGCTACCAGGTCTACTCCCATCTTTTCATAACACTATCCCTCTGTATTTTAAATTCATCTGGTCCAGAATTTACTATTTCAAAACTTCGTTAGTCTAAAGCGTTAGAATTATCGATAGGAATTTTCAAATAAAAGTTTTCTCATGAATTATTTCTCATTTCCGCAATTTGATTGTAGAACTGAGAAACCAGAATATTCTTTGAGGTTCTCATTAAGGAAATCTTAGTGCACTATTCTTCAAAATGCCTAACCGATACAAAGATCTTTAGTGAGATCAGTCTGTAGTATGCTTGCAATGTTAACGATTAACAGTTCATTAGCGCCCCTTTGGGGTACCAGTCACGGCTAAGTCCTCCTTTTACATAAGTGCACTTGAACTATAGTCTCTTATTGTCCATGTAATACAACAGCTACGATATCATTCACATATGCCTTTTCAAAACTATTTTCTTTGAATAACAGTAGCTAGACATTGCACATATCAGAATTCCAGAAAACATACCAGGATAAAAGTATTACTTTTCATAATAGTAATTATAGCATATGACAAATTAATGTCAGGTCTCAATGTTAGACCCACGCCTATCCATGTATATATTTCCGCAGATGATAGATGTAAAAACACGAAAGAACCTTTCTTATAAATATTAAACACGACCAAATTCAATAGCTTATTCACTCTTATCGCGTACATTTTATTAATAAATAGTCAAAAACCATTCCATAGTAACTACAAATGACTCACTTAATTGATAAATATTTTCATAAGACGAAAACAAACATACAATTTCCAATTATTCTCTTCTTTTTCATACATTTATGCAAAACCGAAAAAGACATATACTGTTTTAGCTGATCATCTACTTCAGCAAATGCACATTCTAAATCCACAAAAAAATATACGAACCGAAAAACTAATTCTTTTCCTTTCAAGTTCGTTTTCGATGGAGGGAATTTAACTGTTTTAATGATGTTTTCCATCCATACATTGTCACTATATTCTATTCTTCGAGAAAAACTGGTCTTAGAATGCATACAAAAATATTTCTCCTTTTTTATCACTTTGAGTCCCTTTTGAAACTCATCAGATCTAACCCCTTCACATTCTCTTGTTAAATCTTTTTAATTTAACGCCCTTCAAAATGCAACTGTCGAGTGCACCAGCTAGTCGTTCGTCGGCGTCCCTCTGGGGCGCCACTCGCGACTAGCTGCTGCAACCTCTGATCTTCTTCTCCCATAAGATAGTTCTTTTCACTTAAACCTGTTAAATGCCAGATTGCTCTTACTTAGAATATTTGATTTATAATACCATCGCTCCACATGAGCAGCTCCGGACCAACAGTTTCCTGTTATTTATTCCTAATTTCTTTAACCCAATGGTTTAGCCAATACGGTAAAATTTTATTAGGGCTTCTGGTTTGGAGAATCTTAGTTGATTATTCTTGATAAATGCAGGTTTCACGTAGATCTTTTGCTAAACAACATTAGAATACGTTCGCAATTTTAGCCACCACTAGTTCGCCAACACTTCTCTCAGGCATTGCTCATAGTCCGTTGTTGCGTTCTTGGAATACATTAAAACAATCATTGGTTATTCAGCATTTATCCTACAGACCGTAACTTCATTTACAGGATTCTTTTAATGCTACTTCTCTCGCCTTAAGCAGAGTGCTCTCAAAAAAGGTCACTTAACTCACAAACCACTATGAATAAACAGCAATCCCATAATGTCGCACAACTTAGACTGAGTGCCAATGCTTTGTAAACACTGTTTCATCACACTACGACTTACTGAAACATTCAACCCATTAGATCACACTCTGATTCATGTCTACAACGACACTATGAAGAGGCTACTGAAACTAAACAGCAATTACAAACTCCAAATACACAGAAGGATTGTCCATATTTCGGGTTTCCATTTTTTCAAATGCCTTTTGCTTTAAAAAAATTGACTTTTTCCTTAGACAATAATTCAGATAAAAAGGTATGATTTGTCTCATACAAAAAACTACTTGAGTTTTTGAACAGCTGACTTGAGATTCGGGTTCTCCGACCTGGATTTGCTTCCGTCAACCCTTATAAAATATCGTTATTTTCTCAAAAAACCCGTTTCTTGACCCTAAAACTCAATTCAAAATTTAAAAAAAATGACTTCAGATTCGGATTCCCCGACCCCGATTTACTTTCGTCAACCTTTATAGAATATCGCTATTTTCTCAAGAAACCCTTCCCTTGACCCAAAAAATTCGATTCAAAATTTTGAAAATCTGACTTCAGATTCGGATTCCCCGATCCCGATTTACTTTCGTCAACCTTTATAAAATATCCTTATTTTCTCAAGAAACCCTTCCCTTGACCCAAAAAATTCAATTCAAAATTTTGAAAATCTGATTTTAGATTCGGATTCCCCGACCCCGATTTACTTTCGTCAACCTTTATAGAAGAGAACTTAAAATAGATGTTTTTTTGACCCCGACAAACCCACAAACCCATTTTCAGTTTTTTTCATATGACCCTCCCTTCAGTCGAGGGAAAAACAAAAAACAAATCTTTTTGTTTGTCTTTAATACAGTCTCTACTTTCAATTTTCACCAGGAAAATTCGTTCAGTTAAAATAAAAGTAGGCGAAGTTAGCATTTGATTCGAGGAATTCTTTTACTGGTGCGCTTAGATGGCGTTACAAGTACATTTTAACAAGCTCTATCGATTGGTGAAAACCGCTTCTCAATGTCTCCAAACATCACTGAAGAAAACGAAAAATACTAGATTTTCACCATAGCTTTTCGGAAAATCGAAGAATGATTTCAGCACTGATTTGCTTGAGAAGCGTTCCAAGTGCACAGATTTAGGGGTGCACCGGTGACGGTTCACCGTCCCACCGCACGAACGGTGAACGGTGCACCGATGGTACGGTGAGGCGGTGGGACCGGTGCACCAGTCACTTTTTTGTATTTTGGTGTCTCTCCTACACGTTACATCTCAGAAGCTCGAACACTTAACTTTCTGATAAGAAGTAATTCCTCGTCCTAATTAATTTTGGGAAATACTAATCAGAACTTTGGAATAAAGCAGAGAATCAAGCCGATAAGGTTATAAAGAGCCATAATGGAGACTGGCATATTAGTACTGCTGGATGCATTGAGTCTTATGTTGTTTGAGTAATAGCGGAAACCGGTCATCATCGCAGATTTTTGTAGTTCTAAATGGAGGGTATTGATATTGACTAGAAATACAACGGTGAAGGTCATTTCGCCGGTTGAAGTCGATAATAATACCTACGGTTACCGGTACAGCTACAGTCATTGTACCTAGGTTTTTCGATCCAATCACGATAACCGTACCAATGGTTACTGGCCCAGCTAAGATCACTGTACCTACGGTTACAGATCTAACTACCATCACCGAGACTACCGTAATCAATCCAACTACAATAGCCACAGGTACGCTTACCGGTCTAACTACTATCAAGTAAGTTACGGTTACTCGCCTAGCTACGATTACCATAAGTAAAGCTATTGGTGCAACTACAATAAACGTACCTACGGTTACCAGTCCAACTATGATACCGCATTGATAGTTATCAGCGAGATTATGTGGCCATACCTACGGTCACCGATCTAGCTACAATAAGCATACCTACGGATACCGGTCTAAATACGATAACTGTTTCTACCGTTAGTAGCCAAACTACGAGTATCGTGGGTACGGCTGATAGTCCGGTTGTGATAACCGCACTTACAGTTACCGGTCCAACTACGATCCTCCTAGGTACAGTTATTAGGTCAAAACGGGTGTCGCGATAAACATCATTGTTAAGAAAGTGAGGTTTTTATAAAGGCTGACGAAGTAAACTGGGGCCGGAGAGTCTGAATTCAAAATCAGTCTTTGAAAATTTTAAACTGAAGTTTTTAAATTAAGTGAGTGTTTATTATGAAAGTAACTATTTCCTCGATGGGTTGATGAAGAAAAATTCAACTTGACGTTTTCGACTCTAATACTTAAGAAAACTATAGCATTCATCAAGAAATCATTTTATTGATAATTCAAATGCAGAGCCTTGATAAATTGATATCATATTCGAGTCCCTGAAAATCGATTTACTTTCGTCACTCTTTACTAAGTATCAGCATCTTCTTAGAAAACCTTTCCTTAGCGTACAAATTCAACTTAAACATTTTCAAAATTTGACCTCAGATTTCGATTTTCTAACCATGATCATCTTTCTTTAACTTTCACAGGAATTCGTTAGTGTCTTAGAAAATACTGTGTTTCACGAAAGCCTTATATGGCTGATAACTGTACCTATGGTTATCATAATTGGTTCTGAAATCGTAGGTGCAGCTTTCTTAGTTGTAGCAATAACCGTACCAATGGTTCACGTAGTGAACCCGTAACCATACCTATGGTAATCGTCATCGTTGCATCACTAAAATTAATAACGATAGTCGAAGCTATACTTCTTACTAGACGGCACTATAATACATAAAGCGTCTCTTTCACACTTGATTACCGTGATTCGGTTAAGAAAAGGATCAGTGGAGCCATGAAAACTTATGCCAAACTCCGACATAACAGCATCAGTGATTGATGCAAGTATGTAGGTGTCTGAAAAATGGTCAAAATCGACCATATCAGTGGACTCCGAATATTCTAACCCGCTATGTTCGCCTTAAACTCTAGGATTGAAACCGTATTCATGATTTGAGAATGTAGTCGTATACGAGACACTTTTACGCACGAATATAATCATCAGGCTAACGAGATGGTCGGTATTAAAATAAAAGCCTATGGTGGTGGCTGCTAGACGGACATTATCTGTTATCTTGAGCCTCAACTAGTTCATAAAATTCTTTGAATCGGCCATAACGATAGGTTTTCGCCCTCTAACTTCCATTGTTAGCTTTCATGTTGACGGTCACAACTGTAAGGCCGAGTAGTGAAATTATACCATCACCAATCTTTCTTTTCGCCAACTGGCGAATATCAACTAGCTTTTCGCCAAATTGGAGAATACACTATGACGAAACAAAAATTTTATTGGCGATTTTCATGATAGAGATTTGATAATTGGCGAATATACTAACGAAAAATGGTCTGGGTATAGATGACTGGGTGTGGATGTGGGTGTAGGTGCGAGTCTGGATGTTGTATATGCGCTTGATCTATACTCATACCTACGCCCACACACACACCCACATCCTGTAATACTTAAATATTCTATCATCCATTTAGTTGAGTCATAATTCTACGGACTAAAATTGGTGAATTTCTTCATAACATTCGCCCATTGGCGAACATACTAAGGCAAAAATAAATATTTTTTGACGAATTTCATACTAGAGATTCGCCAATAGACTAATGTCATGGGAAAATTCGCTACTAGTGAGCGTACTGTTGGCGAAATTCCGAATAGGCGAACCTACAGAGCCAGCTGAGTGTACGGCAAGACTGATGATGAAAAATCTTTTCCAAGATGTCCATGGCTACAAAGCTAATAATAGAATCAATAGGGTGACGAAAACCTACGGCGATGGTGACTAGATGGACACTGCTGGTTACTCTGAGCCTCGATGAATCTGTAAATGCTAGAAACCGTCTATCACCGTAGGTCTCCGCTCTAGTAACTGGCAATATGAAACTACATGGTGACGCTTAAAAGTATATCATTTATAGCGATGTATTATTGTATATGAAAGTTTTTTTCCTAAATCAATATGATGGCGATGCCAGTTTTAGGACCGACATTGTCACAGGAACCTACAGTGATGATGGTTGTAAGGGCATTACTGATTACCCTGAGCATCAATGAGCTTGTCAAATGCTGCAAACCGGTCATCAATGTAGGTTCCCGCTCTCTAAACAGCATTTTTAACTTTCATCATGATGTACAAAATTATATATTTGAGTACACGACGAAACAGCATGTGAAAAGTTTTTCCAGAGACTGTCTACGAAGCTAGTTATACGACTGATAGATTCACGAAATCATTCGGTGATGATGACTAGATTGCCATTACTGGTTGCTCTGGCCTTCAACGAGTCTGTGAAATACTAGAAGCTGCCTGCCACTGTAGGTATCCGCCCTCCTAACCAACATGATTAGGATTAATGGTAATACGCAAAAACATGTAATTTAGATCTGCTCACTATAGTAAATGAAAATTTTCTTCATCGATGAATATGATAATCATGCCGGTTATGGGATCGATAGGGCCAAGAAAACCTCCGGTGATGGACATTAAAAGCGTACTGCTGGTTATCCTAAGCTTTGATGAGTCTGTAGAATGTTATAAACCGGTGATCACCGTAGATTCCAGACATTCTAACAGCTATTGTTGACCTTAAAGGTGTTTGTTGGCGCGGCATGCCTAATTTTTTTGTATAAGCATCTTTCATATCCAGAGAGTCTCGCACTAACAAATATCAGCTGAATGAGCATCTTGATGTTGTCTGACGTACGCCTACGGTCAGCATCGTACTGAAGAAGCGGTCAGTATATAGAAACATTTTATTAAATTTGTGAAGTATGATCATAAATCACAGAAAGTAGAGGGATACCAAATATATGTGCACTTTTCGATTATGAGATGGTCAGCTTCATTTTTAATAAGACACAGTTGAACTTGAGTAGCTATATCTGCAGTACATTGTGACCGGTGCTTACGATGCACCGCTACTGCGGTGACCGGTAAACCGGTGGCACCGGTCCTACGGTGAACAGTGAACCGTAGACCGATCACACCGGTGACCACCGTCACCGTTGCATCCCTGCACAGATTCATGCTCCACGTACAATTCAATATGCTCTATCTAATGATAAAATAAGACTTCCAATAGTTAGAGCTATTGTTTGAAAAAATCCGAAAATACTGATTTTTCGACATAGACTCCAGGAAAACCTACGGGTAACTTTTGCACAAATTCGTCCTAGAACTGTTCCAACCAGAATTGAACATGCTTTCTTCCATGGTGAATATAGATTTGCCATAGCTACAACTATTCTTTCATGAACCCCAAAATACTCTTTTTTCAACATCGATTCCATGAAATCTATGTAGAAAAAACAACCGGTATTTTTGAAGCTATCCAAAAGTAATTGTAAGTATAAGAATTCATTCTAGTTTCACCATTGTATAGAACTTGTCGAAATCTCTTTGAAATATAAATAACAGCCATTGAAAAACTTCTGGAGCGAATCGGTGGAAGATTTACATGCTGGTTTCCATAGAAATTATATCGAACAATCAGTATGTTGCGACTTTTGAAAGTATGCTTCTATCTATTAATTATCGAATTTCATCGTTACATCGAGAGGATAGTGAATTCCACTTGAAACATCAATACGAGCATTTGGAACGCTTCCTGAGCGAATCGGTGCAGGAATTATTTGAATTTCCTACTAACTTCATATATGTTAAAGTAACCATCGAACAGATTAATGATTTGATAAAAACTAATAATAATATAAGCGATATTAGTCAATGTCAATTGGAAAAATGTAACTATGGTCATCGAGCAAGAATTTTTTGTTAAACGACGAAAAACAGCAGAAATGAAAAATGAAGAGAACGATAAAAATTAGTTTGAAGAAGTTTTAGTAAACTGTAAAGAATGATATTCAATAATTTATCATATTATTTTCGATGATATTATTTATATATTGGTTTAAGATTGTTCTCATCTTCAATATAATTAAATATTATAGATATATAATCGATAAAAAAAACAAACCATTTTATCTTCTATAGAAAAAGAAAAATAAATTTTTCGAGAAAAAATTTTCACCTGGACAACAAATTATTGTTATATAGGCTAATATGTTCGACAAACAAACAAACAAACAAATAGAAATAATTTTTTATTATTAAATGAAAATATTTTTGAAAACTAAGGCAAAGATTTATTGAAGATTGTTTTTAGTATATTGTCGAGGCGATTAACAACTGTGTCTATAAGCGACACCTTTTTAAATTTTTCTCCAAAATAAAATAATTTAAAAAAATATAAAAATAAAAAAAGGTTCAGAAAAAAAAACGAATTAAGATGTTGAAAAAAAAGAAATAATAAATATTTGAATGAATAATAAAAATGATTATGTTTGGTTGTTTTAATGTACGAATAGATATATGTTTATCGATTATGTTATTATTTCTATTATAATTTATTTCAGTTGATCAGTTAATTTGAATAAGATAAATATTCTATTAACTAATATATTATGAATATATATATTCTCCGTCATGGAGAAAGTAAATATAATGCTAATCCATTAGATGATATTATTGATTGTCCATTAACATCATTGGGTATTGAACAATCAACTTATTTAGATAAATCATCATATCCAAAACATTATTCTTTAATAATTAGTTCACCTTTACGTCGTTGTCTTGATACAATTAAATTGTCAAAAATAAATAGTGATCATTTTGAAATAAATGATTTATTTCGAGAAATTTATTCTGGTTGTAAATCCGATCTCTTATATGATAATGAATTTATTTCTATTGAGAATGAACAATTTATTCAAGAAAGAATAAAACGTATAAATGATTATTTATATAAAAAAAAAGAATTAAATATATCAAATATATTAATTGTAACACATGCAGATTTAGTTTGGTATTTAACTTCTTATGAAATAAATGGAGAAAGATTTGGTACATGGTTAAATAATGCACAATTATTTCATTGGAAACAAATTTAATATACTATTTTCATTTTTTTGGTTTTTACTTTTGTGAGTTTTATTTATTTATTTTTCATTTCAATATTTTATTTTTCTTTATTAGATTTCAATAAATAATATATTAAATATTATAAAATTAATTAACAACGAACTTAATCAAGTATGATTAATAATAAATTATTTTATCTCAATATAATACATTTATATTAATCATAATCGAAAAATAAATATCGTTATATTATAGTCATCATAATAGATAAACTTTTTCTCCCGACATCTATTTATTAACCATAGTACTATCAGTTGGGGTCATTTTTCAGCCCGACTTCGACCTCTACCCCAACTCACAAATTTCAAAATAGATCAAAAAGATTTTGTTTTTTCCTGGTTTTTAGAAGCAACAAGCATCTATCACGAATAGATAAACGTTGTTAAATCTAAAAAAGAAGTTCATTTGTTTTCTACATGATTACAACCGTTCGATGAAATAACATGTCTTTAGTATATAACAAGAAAAGGGTACAAGTTAAATTTTCGAAACTGGAATACAATCAGTCATTTACTATTTCAACTGAATATATCAAATCCATTAAAAAACATTTTTGTTTTCAAGCGATTTTGAGCTATCTAATCATAATGGTAGATGATTCATTCAATTATGGATTAAAGGTTGACTTGACTTTTTTTTTGTTTTGTTGTTTCATATTTATTCAGTAATTAGGTCATTATATATCATATTAAAGGTCTATTATGGTATAGAAATAAAAAATGATTTGTTTTTTAGGTTAAACAACATATATCTATCTACGTATATATATTAGAAAAGGATGATAGTTAATTCCAAAAACCAGGAAAAACAACTAATATCTAATTATATTATTTATTCTAAACTTACGTTTTTTTAAAATCTTATTTAAATAGATTATCTTTATATTAGAAATTCATTTTAAACATATTCGTTTTATTAGTTTTACTCTAAAATAAAATAAAATAAAAACAAATAAGTAGATTTATTTAAGATATTATTAATTATTTTCATTTAATACAAATAAATATTTTTTTTTTTATTAATTAATCAATAAATATATCTAACAAATCTCGAAGGTCGGAATTTCGGTCCGGAACGAAATTCATCTCACCGCTTTTGATAAAAAAAAAGGTCTAACTTCAATGTATAGTTGGCACATTCTGTAGTGTTGAGCAGGACGGCATAGTGCGTAGCAGTGTCCTTTTAGACCACATTCAAGTTATAGCATCATGTTCACCATACGACATTTCAATTTCTTATGTCACTTGTTTCGGAGAAGTAAGAGATATCTCTCAAGACTGCAACACTTATTATATTAATCCAAGTAGACTACTCATCACTACGTTGTTCTGATCCGTACTATGTAGTATACCAACTAGTTAAAGATATCTGGCTTGTTTTAAGGCCTTCTTCCCCCTCCCCCCCCCCCCTCTCAAAAATCGATTTTAGGATCAAGTACATTCAAATCGCGTGAAATTTTCAGAATATGTTCGGGTTGTGGTAGAGAGGCTGTGGTAAAATTTTCATCTCGAAACCATGACATTTGACAGGGATATGAACCAAACAAGGGTCAAATATAGATCATTTTGTCTCCAAGATTTCTCGGTCCAGGTTCTGTCAATATATTTAAATTCTTTTTTTTTGTGCTTAAAAGAATATGTCAGGATGCAGGACATCATAGAGCCCTTTTTTTTTAATTCTTCCTTTAATAGCGGAGAAAGGCGATTACAAGTTCAATGACTGAAAAGACGCGCCAAAAATGAGTGTGTAATTACATAAATGTTGGTATACATAATAAAAAATAAAGTTTAATTAAAAAAAGTATTCCGTCGTGCTCTGCATCTGGACATGCTCTTTCAAACAAAAGAAAAAAAGTGTAAATATATTGAAAGAGCCTGAACCAAGATATTTTGGACAAAAGATCAAGAAATAATAAATCAAGAAAAAACGAAAAAGATTTTTGGTTTTTTCCAAAGATGGCTTAGTTTTCGAATAAGGGATGAGGAAAATCTTCAAAAATTTTTCTCATTTATGAAAGATTAGATCAAGAACTATCCTTCTGTGTATTTATCTCAAAGGGGGATGATCTTAAAAGATTGGCGAGGTAAATTTGAGCCTGGACCGAAATTCATCTAAGCCATAAATCTAGTTTAGTTGATAATCTATATTTTGAAATAAAATATTGATTTAATTTAATTCATATATATATATATAAACAAACTTCGAATAGATATTCTTATCTGATATTCATATAAACAAAACAAATAAATTCAACTGTTATTTAAATAATAATTCAATTTCTATTTAATTAAAATAATCATTTGAAAATTTGTTTTGTTTTCTTTTTGTTGTCTAGATAATTACATTGAGAAAATCAATAAGTTAATTATATAAAGAAAAACTAAATATTATTTTCGAAAGTGTAGATATAAAAAGAAAATAAATTCTATTGCTTCGATTTATTTTATTATTTTAAAATCATATATATGATGGAATAGAATTTATTTAATAAATAATCTTCTTAACAAATATTTTTCATAATTTATCATATGAAAATGATTGAAATAAAATAAAAATAATTTTTTTTTAAAATGAATAAATTGATGATTTATGAGAAAGTATTTGATATAATGATTAGTCTTGTTTAATATTGTTGACAATATGATAATATAGATTGAATATATTTATTTAAATATATATTATCTTTATTTGATAATATACCTATAGAATATATTAATAAACAATATTCGATATGTTTAATGTCTAAATAATAATCAATTTAATTAAAATAAAATCTAAACAAGATAATAAAGAGAATTTTATTCGTTTTATTACGATTATTTAGTTTTTGGAATCAATTGAAATATATTTTTTTTTTATTATCTTAATCAGTTGAAAATAATCAGTATTATTAACAAAAACATTGAATATTGATTAATTAAAAAAAAACGTATATACATATTTATCTTTATTTTTTATTTTAGATAAGAAACATCGAAAAGAAATCTCAATCTAACTTACTTTCATTTTATTTAAAACATTAGTCATATTATTATACGTATTTGTATAAATAAAAAATCCTTTACTTATTGTTTCTCACCTTTTTTATTATTCCGTTCGTTTTTTTTTTGTTTTCGATTTAACCTGAACTTCGAAGTCTAGTAGCATGGAGAAAACATTATTAAATGTAAGAGAGAGAAAGAAAGAAAGAAAGAAAAAAAAGAAAAACATGAATATATTCTTTGATAAAATAGTTGATTATTGAAAGGTTTTCGTGTTTATTCATTTTCATTTTTGCTCATATTATTGTAATATTGAAAAAAGAAAAAAAAAGGTGTGCATTATGACCTCAAATCGAAAACATTCTCTTATTGATGTATTATCCAATGAGAATTGTTTGTCTGATGATAATCATCGATCAAATAATGAAGGAGAACGACGATGGAGACGAACAAGTTTTGCTGGATATCCTTGGGTGAGATTTTCATTTTCGATTTTCAACTAATATCTCAATTTATTCGTTTTATTTTTTATTATTTATAAATTTATTCGAATTTGAATACGAATTAGAATATTTATTTATTTATTTTCTCTAGATGAATAAATTCAAGCCATTTATATATGGAACAAAGTAAGTTAATATTTGAAATAATCGATTATTTTCTTATTGTTGAATTATGAAAGAAAAAAAAAACAGTCTAGTTGAAATGAATTAATCTTGATAAGAATATATTTATAAATGAAAATGAATATAGATAGTAATTAATTGAATTAAATAATCTATGTTGAATTTCGATTTATTAATAATATTCAAATGAAATAAATAATTCATTGATTATATATTAAAAAAAAACAAACTCTTATTTATTTAAAAAATTATTTTCAAAATCACCGATTTATTTAACATAAATATAATTTAAAATAAGAATATTTAAATAAATAATATTCTATTAGATTATTTCAATCGTTTGAATAATAATAATCGATTACCAATAATATTAAATAGAATTTATTTATTTTAAATTATCTTTAATTAATTCTGTGCCCCTCATTTTCATATCAAATAGTTACAGTCAATTGAGTTTTTTATTAAAAAAATTTTCAATCATTTTCTTATCCTATATATATATATGTATTCATTTATTTAATAAATGATTATTTAAATAATTTAACAACATTATATAGATGTTGTATATTATTGATTTTATCTTTTATTAAATTGTGTTTAGATAGATTTTCAAAGAGTTTTATATTTAACAAGACAGAAAACAAAAACATCGATTAGATTTTATATATAATAGAATAGAATAGAATAAGTAATTAAAATAAAAATAGAATAAATAGATCTATTTAGTTATCATAAACAAATAATCTATATAATAAGAGTATATGAAAAATAACCTAGAAACATCAATAAAAAGTTTTCAAAAAAAAACTCATTTATAGCAGATGATAAGTAATCGTCAAAACAAACTAATCAAATATATTATATTTTATATAAAAATCACATATTGAGTCGAGTATTTAATTGAAGATTGATCTTTTTTTTTAAATAAGTTTATTTATCTTATAGAAGAAAACAAAACTTCGTAAACAGTTATAATCAACTGATTTATTGTCAGTTAATAGTATAGAAAAAAAAAGAAGAAAATTGTGTTTGATTATTGAAGAGAGACTATTCAATAACTAATAATATTTAATAAATGTGATCTGATATATTATATTAATGATCATTCCTATCATATTGATATGTATCGAGGAAAAAAAAAACAATAACAATCGATTTTGAAGTTTTTAATTATGGAAGGTTGATTTATTCGAGACGATTCATCGAAAAGAATGTTTTTTTCAGAGAATAAGATTTAATCTAGGAGAGAATAGAAATCAAACATTGAATTATATTAGAAAATATATTTGACAATAGATCAGAATTTATTTCAAAGTATTTTTTATCCTCTGTTAAAGTTTTAACTTAATTATTCATTATATTAAGGAAGACTTTAAAACAAAAACAAAATCAAGTTTTATCCTAGTCTACACTGATCTATATTATAGAAAATAACTAAAATTAAGCAATTTTTCATAATGAAAATAACTTGCTTGGTTTTTGTTTTCACTAACTTTAACAAACACAATCGTAGTAAGTTGATTATAGTAATGTGAAAGTTTTTGGTGAGTCTTTGTTAATCTATTTATAGTAAATATTAACGATTGAATATTTTCAAATATAAATCATAAAAGAAAAATCCTAATGATAATATATTTATTGAGTTTGTCTATTTTGAAGAATGATTTAATTAAATATGAGATAATATATAAATAAATAAATAAAAAAACTGTTTTATTGTATTTAATTAAGAAATGATGATGTACCTGATTGTTACAATCGAGTTCGTTATATTCGAGATGCTTGTAAAGTATTATCTGATCTTTGGAAAACGGATAAAGATTTTGTAAGTGTTAATTAATTAAATCTAATATAAAAAATAAAATTTGTTTTTGTTTTTGTTTAGTTAAATAAAAGTATTGATAATGATGTATCAAAATCGTTCAAAGAATTTCGTTTGAATGATGTTGCACGTTCTTATCGTTCTCCATATCGAACAAATGGAGGTTCATCGATTTTAAATCAAACAATTGATGATTTAGTTCAAATACATGATTTTATTGATTCGAAAAGAAAAGAATGGCTTGAACAATTAAAAAAAATTATTGAACAAGCTAGAGATAAACAAGTATTGTTGAACCTTTTTTTTTTTTTTTATTCTTATTTTATTTTTATCTCTGTTTTTGATAACAAGTCAAATATTCGTCAAACGATGACTGAACTTCGAGATAATTATGAAAAAGCTCAACGAAAATTAGAAACAGCTGATACGAATTTAAAAAAGTCTCTGATTTTTATTTTAATTCTATAAAAATAATTTTGTTTTTCAATATATTTTTAAAAAAAAAAAGATTTCAAACACGATCTGATCGTTTAACATTACCAAATTTTGATGAACGTTTACGTGAATTAGAAGATATTCGTAGTGAATGTGAACAAGCTCGAACATTATCACATGATATATATGCAACTGAAACATATAAATTTTCAAGTGAAGAACATTCAATAACAGTTAAACTATTTTATCAATATTTATATGAAGAAAATACATTTTATAATGATGTATCAAAATATTTATCATCAAAAATGCCTGAAATAGAACAAAGATTAGAAAATAATGATTTAATTCCATCATTTGGTTATGATCTTGCTAAACATTGTTCAAAACGAAACGATACATTAATTGCTTATCCTATTGAAATATGTATTAGACTTTTAGAAAATAGTTTAAATGAAGAAGGTCTTTTTCGTATTGCACCATCACATGGTAAACAAAAAAAATTAGTTGCTGAACTTAATTTACAAACAATTGATAGAGCAGCGACACTTAATGAACTTAATTATGATCCACATGTTCCAGCAAGTACACTTAAACAATATTTAAGAGAACTTCCAGATTGTTTACTTACAAATGCACTTTTATCACAATGGAATGATGTTATTTCTATCAGGTTTGTTTGTTTGTTTGTTTATTTATTTCAACTTTTTTATTTAAAAATAAACAAATAGACAAGAAAAACATTTAAACCTTTTTTTTTGTTTTTTCTATTGTTAATTAATTCATTGATATTGAACATTGATAAAAACGAGTTATTTTCTATAAATTCTATAAAATAAAAAAAAAAAACTGAAGTATTCAATCAAAAAAAAATAAAATAATAATTTAAGAAAAAAATATTGTTTTAATCTGATATATATGATTTATATTCGAATAAAGATTAAATAGATAATATTTATATTTGAGATTTAAATAAAAACAAAGACAAATAATGAATATTTATTTTAACAATTGAAATTAATTTATCGTTAAAGCATTAACTATAAATAATAGTTATTTGAAATTATATTTTATTATTATTTAAATTTTAAATAACTAATTTAATATAATTAATATTTCTATATTAAATAATTGTTTATTAATATAGAATTAAAAATAAATTTCGAAATAAAAATAAAAAGAATAAATATTGTTTTCTTAAACAATTGTTTATTAAAAGAAAATATCTACTAAAAAATTCAATAAATTCTTTAGAGATTAGTTTGTTTTTTTTTTTTGTTTTCTTCTCTTAAATAAATATATAAAAGATAAATATTAATTAAGAATTTTAAAATAAAACAAAAAACGAAAAAAAAAATAAAGTTTTTCAATTTGTTTTATTTAATTTTTAGTGGTGAACAAGCTCGTCTACAACGAATAAGTCAATTAATAAATAAATTACCTGATATTAATTATCAAAATCTTTGGTTTGACATTTGTTTTTTGTTTCTTAATTTATTTAACTAAAATAAATTTTTTATTTTTATCTTTATTTAGTTATTTAGTTCGTTTCTTAGCTCGTGTAGCTGAATATTCATCGGAAAATAAGATGACACCAAATAATTTAGCTATTTGTATTGGATGTAGTATTTTATATGGAAAAGATCAATCATCATCATCGTCACATCAATCTATTTCAAATTCCTATACAGCTGCTTCAACTATTCTTGAACTTATGATTATTCATCATAAACAATTATTTATTAATTCTTCTCAACAAGAACAAACTTCAAAATCAATTAAATGCCAACCTGATCTTATTCCAACTGAATTTCATTCCGTATTTTTAATTATTTTTATTTTTATTATTTTGTTTCTATTAAATTATTTTTTCTTTTTTTAAAGAAAAGTCGAAGTGGTTCAAATGAAAATTTATTAGATGTTCAAAGTATACCAGTATATCCTCAACCGTATGTATTTATATTCTAATAAATAAATAAATAAATAAATAAATAAATAAGATCTCCTGGAACACGTCGAAAAAATAAAGCACCTCTTCCACCAGCATCATCTTCGGTTAATCAGCAAACATCAGTTGAACAAGTTAATTATGAAAATCTATCATCTGACATTAATTTAAATGATCAAACATCGAATCAATCTATAACAGGTAATAAAACAATGATTTTAACGAAATAAACAAATAAAACAAATGCTTATATCAGTTAATAATCAAGAATCATCTTCCGACTATAATCGAATCAAGAAATTATGCAAAAAATTTGCAGGAGGTTCTTTTTTTTATGCTCGCTTTTATTGCCATATATATATATATATATATAACTGTTCGTTAAATCAATATGTCCTTTGCTTTCGTCGTTCGTTATTTCTCTAAAAAATATAAATAATCAACATTGCTCTTTCGAACGTTAATTAAACTTAAAATAATCATTTGAAAATAATTAAATAAAATCATGTCATTTATTTTTTATTTTTTTGATTACTTTAGTAACAAGTTCATCAAGTTTTAGTCCGAGTGATAAAATTCATCGACGTACACCAAGCGAAGGAACACAATTAGATCGTCCTGGAGCACCTCCACCTCTTCCACCATCACTTATTATTTCTTCTTCACCATTAGTTCAATCTCGACAAAAACTTTCCTTTCCATTATTAAAACCAAATAATGAACAAAGATTTTCAACGGCAATAGAAGATAAAACAGTTGAAAATGATTCAACAACAGATTTGTCAACTGATTCAACATCAACGACAAATGATGGTGTTAATGTTGGAAAATTAATTTCACAAATTAATAATCGAATGGCTGCTGGAAAATCAAATAATACTCAAACAAATAATAATCGAATATCTTCTTTTAGAAATAGCACATTACCTTCACCACCTGGAGATACAACTGATTTCTAGTCTTTTATCATCCGGTGCTTTTTTTTTAAATTATAATCAGTGACTCATTTAAACTAATTTCATTAATTATTATCTTTTCTTTTCTTTTCGTTTCATTTCGTTTCATTTTTTTTTTTATTTGATCGCTTCTCTTCTATACATATATATAAATCAATACATTTCTACTGTTCATAATTAAATGAAACAAATAATTCACAGTTGATTGTTTTTTTTTAAATTTAAATCATCGATAATAATTGTTCTTTTAATGATAAAATCTGTTATTATTAAAAGATGTAATCATCACTGAACAATTTTTAAGTCAATCAATAATTTAAATATTCTTCTTGTCAAATTTATTCTTTTTCATAGATCAACATTTTAATTGAATATTTCACTTTTTAAACATTTTTCAAGGGGTAAACGGCGGACTTGGAGTAGAAACGTACGCCAAAGTACGTCAAATTAGACTACTTGAAGTAGTTTAAAGTACCATCCAACTAGCTCAAAGTAACTTTAAGTCCAAAAGTCTGCCGTGTCCTCCTTGACATTTTTATTTAAAATTTTTCCTTTTAATTATTTATTTTTATCAATATTTCAAGGCTATTTTAAATAAGTTATATTTTTACTTTCGAAAAGATTGTCTCTTACTTTTACATAAATTAACTTTCTACTGTAAAACATATTTAAAAATCAGTCTTATTCACAGAGTCAACATGTATTATGATCGAAACTTGAAAAAGAAAACGAGAATCGATACATCTTCAATAATAGTCTTATCGAAATATTTTTGATTTGTTCCATGTCGAACACGCAGCTCAAAATCGAAGAGTTCAGCCATCTGATCCTGCAGAAGAGATGCAAGAAAACTCATCATATCTTACGAGAAAGCACCGCAACCTGCCCGTAATTCTCAATCTGGATATGGAAAAAATTTTCGTTTTAACTTTTTCATGGTTGTTTTGTTGAATCAAGAATTTATTTATCGTTATTATACAAATTGTCTTAATTATTTGCTTTGTATATACAAACGTTTCCTTGATATTTATTTTAATAATGTAAACATGTCATCTGGACACTTCCATGGGAAGTATACCATAAAAAACACAAAGATCTCAGAAAATGTTTTGAGGTATCAGGGCTTGTAGAGCTTATTGTGCTGATCATTTTGATAGAAAAAAATTTTCTTTTCATCAAAACATAACGGCACTAGGGTCAAAATACTGAAACATCAAAAAAGTCGTATCGGTCCCAGGCCGAAAAGTACCGGCCGGTTCCCGCAGGAAAACACCGGAAATAGCCGGAACATGGAAGCAGTATTCCGGCCGGAAATTTTCGGAATTTTTTCCGCTGATTTTCCGCTCGGTTCCTGCCGGAAAACACAGGAAATTGGCCGGAATTCACCGGAAAAAATCCGGAGAATTTCCGGCCGGACTACTGCTTCCATGTTCCGGCTATTTCCGGTGTTTTCCTGCAGGATACGGTGATTTTTCCCGCATTTTCCTGCCGGTTCCTGCAATATCCGGTGGCCGGAACGATCGACCTGGGGTTACTTGTTTTTTGCAGTATTTTGACTCTACCAGCGTTATTTGTCAATGAAATAGGGTAAAATTTTATGTCAAAATGATCAGAAAAGAAAGCTCTACAAGCCCTGATGCGTCAAAACATTTTCTGAAATCTTTGGGTTTATATGTCTGGCTATCTATGACTATCCATGTTCAAAAAGTTGATCACTATATAACTCAAAATGACTATATTCCTGCAAAATGGGACTTTGTGGGTTTTGTAGCGCGGAGTCTACTCTACAAAACCCTATACACGGCAATCGAAACACGCCGACAAAATAGTGCGTAAAATTCGACAAAACACTAAGAACTATGATTATTTCGGAAAAAGAAGATCATTTATGCATATTGCTTTGAAATTCCATTTGTTTGAGCTGAAAATTGTAGTATGGTGACCTCTGAGAAGTCGAACGATGAAGTTGAAGAAGATTTCTAAGTCTATTTTGACGCAATTGAGAGTATCTGAACTGTGATTTCGATGGAAACTTTTGCTAGCTTACTTTCTTTTCCAATGGAGAGAATAATTTATAACTGTAGTTGAAAAAGGACGGGGGACGTTTTTCGTGCATTTCGGCCCTATTACAAAATGAAGGCACAATTACCTGAAACTTTCAACAAATACTCAACTTTATGTTAGTAGTCATCACTCAAAATTTCAGCTT